TGAAGATGGTATCTTAGGGTTCCTATTGCTGTGAAGAGACACCATGACCATAGCAACTCTGATAAAGAAAATATTTAATTGAGGGGGCTCACTTACAATTCAGGGGTTCAGTCCACCATGGCAAGGAGCATGGCTATAGGCAGGCAGGCTTGGTCCTAGAGAAATAGCTGAGTGTCCTACCTACATCTTGGAGGCAACAGGAAGTTGAGTATCACACTCAGGGAAGCTTGAGAGAAAGACCTCAAAGCTGGCCACCCACAGTGACACACTGCCAACAGAAGGTGCGGTCCAGATTAAAGGTGTGCCCTCTAGTCTCAAGGTCTGGATTACAGGGGAGTGTCATCCAACCTCCTCCAAGACCACATTGCCACCAACAGGGCCACACCTCCTAACAGTGCCAATCCCTCTGAGTTTATGGGAGCCAAATACATTCATATTATCACAGATGGTAATAGATGAAGCCCCAGGATTCATATGACTCTTTCTGAACATTCCTCCCCTTGGGGTTTTGATTTACTTTCACTGAGTTTTGAAACAGGGTCACCCTATACAGCTCAGGCTTGCCCAGAACTTGCTACCATATCTCCCTTCCTCCTCCCCCTCTCTCCTTGATGGTTGAGATGAGAAGTATTCACCACCAGGCTTGGGTATTCTGTCAGCTTTTAAAAAGTTTCATAAGGGGAGGAAATAAAATCACCTGAAGTTGTGCAGTGTGCTTGTTCTTCCAGCCTGCAATGCTCGTAGCTGGAGCAGGAAGATGACATGAGCTGAAGTTTCATAGCTCAGCTCTACCAACCAAGCTATTAAATGCTCCCACGGAAGAAGGAGAACCACATTGGGTCTTGTGGTAGAGTGTTACCCAGTTTTCAGTTGTAAATCCACACACCTATGGACAAAAGAAACCAAAATTATACAATGGAAAAAAGAGAGCATCTTCAACAAACAGTGCTCATCTAGCTGGATGTTGGCAAGTAGAAGAATGCAAATAGATTCATATCTACCACCCTGTACAAAACTCAAGTCTAAGGGGATGAAAGACCTCAATATAAATCCAGATACACTGAACCTAATAGAAGAAACAGTGGAAAATAGTCTTGAGCACATGGGCACAGGAGACAACTTCCTGAAGAAGACATCAAAAACACAGACATTAAGATCAACACCTAATAAATGAGACCTCATGAGACTGAAAAATTCCTGTAAGGCAAAGGACACTGTCAATAGAACAAAATGGCTGGAAGTTATTCTTGATGACCCAGTAAAAATGACCTCTTTCCTTGTGACTTTGCCAGTGTCAGTATTAACTGACAGTGTGTGGCACATACAAGGAGTCACCTGGATGCCCTTTTGTCCTTAGCATCTATAGTCACATATCACTATGCATCCTAGCTTCTTCCATGTAAGCTAAACTTAGGGTTTTCTAGAGAATAGTGCTCCAAAGCATGCTCCCCAGTACAAGGAAGTCACAGTACTCTTTAGATGCCCATCAGTAATAGCAGTGAAACCCACAAAATATTGTATCATCAGAAGTGATAAGCCTTGAACTGAATGCTTCTAAATGAAGTAAGAGCAGTTAACCTCAATAATTGATCCTTTTTTAAACATTTTATTTTTAATGTGTGTATGTGTGTGCATATGCAGGTACATGCACACCACTCATTAAGTTTCTGTGCTTAAAAATATATGTGTTCCTTAGTAAATGGGACCTCATGAAACTGAAAAGTTTCTTTAAGGCAAAAGTCACTGTCAATAGGACAAAACAGCAGTCTACAGAATGGGAAAAGATCTTCAAAAACCCCACATCCAACAAAGGGCTTATTTCCAAAATATATAAAGAAAACTCTAGAAACTAGATACCAACAAACCAAATAATCCAATTTTAAAATGGGGTATATATCTAAACAGAGAATTCTCAACAGAAGAATCTGAAATGGCTGAGAAACACTTGAGATGCTCATCATCCTTATCCATCAGGGAAATGCAAATCAAAACAACTCTGAGATTCCATCTTACACCTGTCAGAAGTGACAGCTTATGCTGGAAAGGGTGTAAGGGAAGGGGAATACTCCTTCATTGCCAGTCGGGGTGAAAATTTGTACAGTCACTTTGGAAATCAGATGGCCCCTAGGATTCTTAAAGATAAGATTGCTCAGGAAAACATAGCATTGTGAGAAGGACCCAACATGCTTTTGGTTGAATTCTGACTTCCTCAATATTCTACCTCTGTTCCCTTCTATCCATTATTTGACTTTCCCAAGACTCAGTTTCCTTACTGGGCAAGTGTCGCTGAACTGCTATAAGTCACTTAGCACACTTTGGATTTATATACTCAATAGTTACCAGAAAACACTACATTTGACCTGAAAGAATGACTTGGCATTAACTTTAGGATCCCTGTTTCCCAGACATTGACAAGCTCTCTCAGATTGTAGCCATGTGTGTAGTTGAACTATGTGCTGAGAAAAAGCCCCTTCTCACTCTTTTTTTTAATAAAATAAATTTTGACAGTTTCACACATGTACATGACATTTTTTTAATCATAGTCCCTGTGGTGGTTTGAATATAAAAGGCCCTCATAGACTCATGTGCTTGAACACTTGGCCCACAGGGAGTGACACTATTAAGAGGTGTGGCCTTGTTGGGGTAGGCGTTTGAGGAAGTGTGCCTCTGTAGAGGTGGGCATTGAGGTCTCATGTATGTTCAATCTATACCCAGTTTGGGACTCAGTCTCTCCTGCTGCTGCTGCCTGCACATTAAGAAGATGTAGCATTATCAGCTCCTTCTCCAGCACCATGTCTGCCTGCATGTTTTCAGGCTTCTCCCATGATGATAATGGACTAAACCTCTGAAACTATAAGCCAGTCCCAATTAAATGTTCTCCTTTATAAGAGTTGCCATGGTCATGGTGTCTCTTCACAGCAACCCCCTTTTGCATTAACCTCTGTTATCCCCCTCCCACTGTCTTGACTTGACTTCTTTCCAACATGACCCCTTCATACTTTCATGTCTTTGCCATGAGCCACATCCTAGGTACTTGGCTTCACTTGTGTGGATCTTGGGTTGTGGTCAAAGCATCTGGAAGGGCAGAGACTGCATCTTCAGGAGCAGAAAGACCACAGCAGTTGTATACTATCATTATATGAGTGCTCCCCTAATAAACACCTGTTAATCAGTTATCTGGGTTTTGTGGACTCATTTGTGGACTCCAGGCTTTCAGTGGCCTGAAAATGTAAGACAAATAAACTACTATATTACACTACAACAACAGAAAGCAAACTAAAACACTGACCAAGGATGAGATATGGGAATAAACATAAATATTTAGAAGGCAGTATGCTCTGCCCTAGAGCAATGAATCCCCAGTTAGGGTCTTTTTGACATGATTTACAGTATCAGGTATGAATTCACTCCTGTGGAGCTTGCCTCGGATTAAGTCACAAAGTGGTTGGCTACCCCCACAGCAGTCATGCCACGATTACACCAGAAGTCACATTCTCCCTGGAAATTCAGTATGGTAGTACCCAGGTTCACTTCTGAGTAAGATCACAGAGGGGTGTACAGTGCACTCTGGCATTATGAAAGCTAGCCAGTAGAGAGGAAGATTCCAGATCAGTCCCAGCTTGATTTCTGTGTCTCTTATAACCCAAGTGTGTGATGTCTTCAGCAACAGGGTCTTACCATCTAGTTCTACTAGGCAACCAACAAGGCTCTTCAAACCATTGAATACATGCCCAGAGTGGGTCTCCTAGTTGGTTCTAAATCCTGTCAAATTGACAGTAAGGATGAAACATCACAGGAGGTGTCAAAAGAAGAGCTCCTTCAGAAGAAAACCATGCACACACACAAAGGACATCAGCCAGTGCCTATACTTCCCAGTTTTCATCGTGGTGGGTACTGGGTGGCCATGGAGATCAAATGAATACTGGTTCAGGATTTCGGCGATTTGTGGATTAGATACACTTTCCACATGTGAAATATAAGATATACAAAGGAAGAGAGAAGGAATGTATTTTCAGGTTTAAGATTCTTAGCATTTTTTATGATCGATATTTCTTTGTCCATGAGCCACCAAAGAACAACATGAACTCATTATGGAGGCAAAATGAAAAGCAGCCATGTGACACACAAAGGCTGTTCCCAGTTAACGAAGCATTGAATAAATCACCTGAGCCCCCGGCATTGTCCGGAAGTAAGATCTTCTGAAAAAGTCAGCTGAGACTGAACATTGGTACTAATCTGCTCCCGATGGCACACCAAAGGAATACAACTTATCGTTTGTTTATTTTCTACTTACTTATTTGGAGCAGGGTCTCACGAAGCTCAGGTTGGTGCTGACCTCACTAAGAAGCCAAGGCTGACCTTGAACTCTTTCCTATTCCTCCTGTCTTCTGCTCCCCAAGTGCCGGTATTGCAGGCGTGCCCTGCACATGCCCTGTCTCTATATCTACTACACCACCCACATCGGGCAAACCTGCGTGCCCAATTTAAATCACCTGGCTTTCGCCCCTAGCCTCGCTGCAGGGGTCCCCTCCTCCCAGGGCTGGCAGAATTGAGGGACCTCAGGTGACTTCTCCAGGTGCTGGCTGTGCCTAGGCTCGTGCAGAAGGCCGCCGGCTGGGCTTGCAAATCCCCGCCCGACCGGCAGGGGGCGCCGCGTCGGCGCGGGCGGGCGGGCGGGGGGCGCGCGCGGAGCGGGGACGCGCAGGCCTCTGGGGCCACGGTCTCGCTGGCCGCGCCGGGGCTCCTCCCCCGCGTGGTCCCCCTCGGGCGAGCGGCGCGGGGCGGAGGAAACGGCCCGGAGCGGGCAGGGCGCGGCGCGCGCCCGAGGGGGCGGGGAGGCGGGCGGCGCGCGGGGGCGGGGGCGGGGGCGAGTGACTAGCGCGGGCGGCGCGCGGCGCGGCGCAGAGGAAGGCGGCTACCCTGGACAGCGCATCGCGGCCGCGCGGCCATGGTGAGTGAGTGGGGCCGCGCGCCTGGTCCCGGCGGGCGGCGGACGTTGGGGCCGGGGGCCGTGCGAGCCCAGGGCCCGGGCGCCGGCGGGTAACGGGGCGCGGGGGCGTGTCGGCGCTGCAGCCGGGGCCCAACGCTCTCCCCGGAGCCGCTCGCCGACGGTCCCCCGCGAAGCCAGGCGCCTGGGCACAAAGGCGGAGACTGTGTGCTGCTCGGCTCGGAAGGAGCCGGTCCTGGGCGGGCAGCGATCCCAGCCCTAGGGGAGCTGAGGCAGGAGGATTGCCGCGAGTTCGAGGCCAGCCTGGGCCACGGTGAGACACCCTGTCTCAAAACAAAACAAAACAAAAACCACCTCCCCGCTAAAGAAAAGAAAAGAAAAGAAATCCGCACATCCTGCGTTTGTCTTCAAACCCGCATTTGTCTTCATTGGTCTTTGTCTTTTCGCCTGCACTTCACGGCTTGCTAAGTATGTGAAGCGACTGCCCGCTTTCCTTGCCTCGCCTGATACCAGTCAGCCCTAGATTGTCCCCCTCCTCCCATACCCTCTCTACTAGACTGAATGGGGAAGTCTTAGCACTGAAATTCTAGCCCACCGGTCACTTTCTTATTCTCCCTACCTCCTTCATTTTGTTTTTTTTTCTTTTAAGCATGCTATAATCTGTTTCTTTATTGGGTGTATTGAATATCTCCCGCACCAAAATTTGTCAACAGTGCGTGGTACACTGTGTGTGTGTGTGTGTGTGTGTGTGTGTGCGCGCGTGCAAAGGAAAGTACTTTGTGCTATGCTAACAGGGAGACAGCAGCGTCCTTGAAGTGGATCACTACAAGGACTGTCTTCTTGACGGGTGATGAGAATCTAAACTGCACTGTAGGAGCGGGGACACACTCCATTCTTGGACAAGAGGGACTCACTGATCAGAATATTGGTGGCCACCTTATGCTTTCTCTGCCACTTGAGTCTCCCTGACATCTGAGTGGACAGAGCACTTTTAGCGCTAATTGGCCCCCTCTCTCTCTCTCTCTCTCTCTCTCTCTCTCTCTCTCTCTCTCTCTCTCTCTCTCTCATATGTGTGGAGTGTGTTTCTGTCTGTCTCTCTCCCTCTCTGAACTTTTATTCCAAAGTAGATAGAGTTTTTAGTTAGGGAAAGCTTCCAAGAATATTTAACTCAATGAAGCAGTCAATGGGTATTAACTTGGAAGAGCCAGTGCCAAGGAAGTCTTACAATGTTTGTTCTATAGCATTTGAGCTCCTTTTCAATAAGCATTTTCAAATCTGTGTCCAAATCAAGCAGTAACACTTTTGAGAAATGAGGCTGGGGGGAAAGGGTGAGGGTTAGTTCCATAAGTAAGTGGGTCTGTTGATAGACTCTTCTATATACAAGCCAAAGACATCTCTGCTAATTAGTCTTATTGCAAACAATATTATTCAAGCCCCCTCCCCTTGCACAGTGTAAATGTATGGTTATTGGCCTAGGGAAGTGTGTTTATTCTAATCAGACAAACTGCCAATGGCATTTACATGAGAAGACTTGAAAATAATAGAGTTAAGATTGTACAGCTGCTGGTCCTCAACTAGTCTTGTGCAGATAGTAGAAATTAAAGATTTGCTTTTTAAAATTAAAACCAGTGAGCTAAACATAAATTGATGATGGTTCATTTTTAATTTCAATTTTCATTTGATTTTACTGTTAGAACTCTAGCAAAAAGAAAATAAGATTTTGTTTCTTGGACTTTTTTTTTTTTGAGACAGAATCTCTTAGTTCAGGCTAGCTTCAAGCTCTCAGTCCTCCTGCCTCTACCTCCCGAGTGATAGGCTTGCACGATGGAACCACCATACCAGGCACAATGTATTTTTAAGTTATCCAGCTGGGTAAGCTAAGCGTTTTGATTTTTGGTAAAGGGTTGAATGAACTGCATTTTAGTTTGGGAGGTTCATAGGCTATGGTCTGAAAGATTGCTGGAAATGTGTTAAGTGTGTTTGTATCCTGTATTTTAGTTGTGTTCAGCATTATGTCTATGATGGTTTTCCTCTGCTGGACAAGTAGATATAGGCCATTCAACTGTGTGGGGGTGGAGGGGTGGGCATAGAGTTGCTATGAGTAGGTGCTTACCAAGGAGAGTGGAGACTTTGCTAAGTGAAACTGTGTGGACACCATCGGTAGCTCATCATACTTCAGAAGTCATACATTTACCTATTTTTGTTTTCAGCTATGAGTAATAAGATTAGGTCATCACTAAGTCTGACAAAGAACCATTCTAATGAATTGGTACTTCCACCATTTAAAATCTAAAATCTAGCCATTTTAGCAACTTGAGAGTATGACTTGTTTTGAAGTTGATGTGATCTAGTGTCAATCATGAGTTTGAATCTCAGCTTCACATTTAACCATGTGACCTCAGGATTTCCTTCCATAAAAAGTGGTACTATGGCAGGACATTGAAATGCATAAAAGTAATTCTAGTTTGTGGGGAGCCAAAGTAGGAGGGCCGGAAGATTGAAACCAGCCTGGGCTAGCTAGCCATAGGATCAGCCAGAGCAATGGTGACTGTCTCAATATTATAGGGTTTGGGGGAGGAATAAATAAGATCATGTATTTTATGAGTCCATTATATCTAATAGAAATATAATGGAAAGCATATATGTGATTTTGAATTTCTGATAGGCACATTTGCAAAAGGAGAGACTCTGGCAAACAATTTTAACATTTAAGACACTCAAAGTAAGTGTTACATCCACATGCAATCAATACAAAAAGTTAAGGGATTTTACACATCCTTTTCACACAAAATCTTGAAAAATCATTCCCTGGGCATGGTGGTGCATTCCTGTAATCACAACACTTAGGAGACAGGGATCTTCGATTGTGAGTTCAAGGCCTCTCTGGACTATAAAAAGGAGATCCTATTTAAAACAAAGAAGCATCCGATTGTTTTTTCAAAATTCCAATGTGTTTATACTTACAGCAAAGCATGCGCCAGTTCATGGTGGCTGTATTTTAGTTGCTCGTGCTTTGGAGGTCATCATATTGGACAAGCAGCTCTCAGTAGCATGCATGTCCAAATTTGCCTCTTATCTCTGAGACCCTTTCCACTGATGCGAGCCTCGCTGACACCTTAGACACAGCACGAGGCGCAGGAGGAGGCTCACCTTTCAGCCTCTGCTCTGGCTGTTGGCATTGCCACCAGCCCTCTAGGTTACTGTGTCAGAAATCTGATTCTTGGTCCATTTTTTTTTTCTTTCATGTTGTTTTTCTGTCCAATATTCTCGGGTTTTTGTTTGGAAATGTATTATTTTAGTTTTTAACATTTTCTCACCTCTACCCCAGCTTTCTTTCTGTTTGCCCATCTAAAAAGTTTCTACCTTTTTTTGTCTCTTGATTTTTAAAAATGATATTCTCTGAATCGCTGGTCTCCACATCTCCCTATCCTTCCCTCGGTCCTTTCTCATGTTAAATCATAATGGTTTCTATTTTGTAGTTCATCTCTAATATCCAATGAATAATAATTACTGTAAGTGACAGCTTGATCTTAAAATGATCCATCCAAGAAAAGGAAAGGAAAATAAGCCACAGAAAGAAAAAATAAAACTGATGTTAGTACCTTAGGAGCATTTTTATAACTTTATTGGACATAAACTTCATTTATTAAATTAATCTTTCAAGAGACATCAGTGGCTCTGATTAATAATTATAGCAGTGACCATGACAGGGGTGTCCTCTCACTGTCTGACACTTTGTCAGAAGCAGAGTGCTCGCCTCTGTATCCCCGGAACAAAGGCACAGCACAAAGCAAGATACTGGACAGGTGGTCAGAAGAGCCAGCTCTCAGTGCCCCAGGCAGGTCAGTCTGCCACACTGTTTACCCACTTACTAAGTGGGGTTAATCCTTTGCCTACGATTATTAGCATCAGATGGGACTCAGCCAGGGCTATTCCCTCAGAGTCGTGTGTGTCTTCTTACCACCACTGTGGTTAGACCTCATCTAACCACACTCCTGAAGGCTAGAGCCTACCTACCTTCTCTATACACACCAGACTCTCTCGCACCCCAGCAGACTTCCTATCAGCACACTCAAGTGCTCTCTGCCTCATCTAATCAATGCTTATTAATGGTGTCTTTTGGCTTTGTGTCTCTTACTGCGTTCTGACTTCCTGAGGTCAGGCCTTGTCTGTGTTCAGTGATGAATCTCAGTATTAGGTGATCATTCTAGGGAGGATGCTAGCATATCATAGGCACTAGACATTATTTGTGGTAGTTGGCCATATGATTATAACTTAATGCACTGTAGGTGGGGGGGGGATGGTGGTCAGTGAAGGGATGCTGGGCCAGCATGAGGACCTGAATCCAGATTCCTGGCACCACATAAAAATGAACAGCCCCAAAGCTAGGCATGGCGTTGAACACTGTAACCAAGTACTGAGAGGGCTTGCTGGCCAGCCAGTCTAGCGGCACTGGAAAGTTCCAGATTCAGTGGGAGTTCCTGTCTCCGTGTGTGTGTGTGTGTGTGTGTGTGTGTGTGTACTGTTTGGTGTTAATTTGTGAATATTTTATATGTCTACTAATTTAAACATAATTAGGCTTCAATGTAGCTAAAACAGATGCTTTTCAGTGCATTTATACACCTAATATTTTGAGTTTTTCCTCATAAGAAAGTAAATCCTATCAGAAACGATGACAGCAGCTTTGCACATTGTATGTTTTAAGAGTTTATTTTGTTTTAACTGCAGTGCTTTAGAGATGTAAATATGTTGAATTTTTGTGTGATTAAGCAGAACTTGATTAGTGAGATCTTAGAATTCCCTAGGTATTAGGGCTACTTGGAGACCCTTATTTAGTTGACAGGGTCAGAACACTTATTGGCCATCATGTTAAGGAGTTAGATTTAAATTAACTCCTGCCTTTAAAGATACATGTGTTTCTATTGTAGAAACAGTGTTTGTTTGGTTTTGTTTGGTTCTGTTTTGAAGCAAGGTCTCACTTAATAAGGTGGGCTGGCCTGGAACTTGCCACTCTAGCTCAGCCTCCTGAGTGCTGAGATAACAGGTGGCAAGCTGTGTTCAATGCTTACTCTAGCTGACTGTCCTCTCTGTGTCTGGAGAAAGAAGCATCCTGTGCCTGAACCCCTCTGCTCCTGTTCTTAGGACCCCTCTGCCCCTGTTCTCAGGGCCTTCCTTAAGCTGCCCCTGGAAAGACACTCAGAGACCCACAGCTTTCTTGCCTTAGAAATCAGATTCATAGCCCTTGGAAAATCAGTGGTGAACTTAGCTTGAGAGGAAGGGTGCTTTGGATGCTGGAGAAATGCCGCTAGGGCA